ATCATTTTGTCGGTCTCTACAAACACATCAATACATTTGTGTTGAACTTTAGAGAAAAACAGCAGGGTGAACTACTTGTTTGGTGTGATATCATATTCAACATGGATCCTTAGGCCTCTCTTGTCAAGATGAACAGCTGGGAGATGTTTCGCTCTTCTCACCTGTTGTTGTTGAGCTGTTTCAGCCGCCCATCTGGAGGCGCCCGTGGCAAGCTTCGGTCTGCAGCCAAAGCTGCAAGGCCTGGCCAAACGAGACGAGCCGATGTCAACAGAGCTGAGGTGTTGTTGGATAGATTCAACATCACACGATGTCAATAGATGTGTTGCCTATGAAGATCCATGAAGCAATATTCAATAGACTATCATAACTATCATATCATCTCTGTTGTTCTTTGGGCAACTGGGAAGAAGATTCGTGGCAAAACGTCGTAGCTTTCGGCGGTCTCTCTCTCGTGCCATGTCCGGTGTCCAAACCCATCAGAGTAGTTCATGGCAAACAGCAGCTCTTGGGAGCTGACTTGGCATTGACTGGCTCTTGGGCCTTAGCACCATAAGGCTGCGAAGAGTTCTCCCACTTCTGGAACTGTGGTGGACTTCGTATAAGTTCATCCATGTTCATCCCTTCAAAATTTCTGTCAACTATGTCAAACGAGGTTGTCTCGAACCTGGAGGGGTTTCCAGCTGACTCAACGAACCTGATTGAAGGATTTCCTACGGATCCACCTCAGCCACTCTGGGCCTTCCACGGTTTGCAAATCCCCAACGCTTCGGCTTCCGGATACCTTGGCCACGGCATCTGAGTGGAGAATGTCGCTGAAACTTCGTTTGCCGAAATGTTGGACTTTTTGGGCGATGGGTGCTGTACTTCAGTCACCCAAAGAACTATACAGCCTTACACACGATCTTGAAAGGTCTGGTCTGCAGGGATCAAGTTGTCCTATGATAAATATTCTCAAATCTGCATTCAACGAAGCTTGCGAGGTCTTTTAAGAGTGCCTGTAGCATCCTTCTACGTGCTTGGAAAGGGTTTGTCTCAAATGTTCCAACAACTCAGGGGCCACAAAGGATTAGAAGGTTTTGGTGCTGTATCCATGTGCATCCCACACAGTGCAGGATGTCTTCCACCAACATATCTAATCTCATTTGCTCTTGTTCTTTGAGTGGATTTTCTTGGTTCGTGCTTAGTGCTTTGGTCCCTGACCGTTTCCGCACTTTGCTTTGCTCCACTGCCCTCGCACCTCAGTGAATGCAAACATTGAGCACATTTGATTACTAGATATTATAGCTACTGTATATACTAGTAGCTTCTTGTTGCTAGTAGCAAAGGCCTCCAACCTAATAGCGATGGCCTCCACCTAGTAGCTTCTTGCTACTAGTAATATTGCTCGCGAATGCAAAACTGCCAAAACAACTCTGCGATTGCCACACATGTCATCTTTCTTCATTAGGCAGTCCTTTGCCCGCTAATGGGGCAAAAATGACAGTTTGCTTGGGCAAATGCTGCTACGAGTGGCAAGCAGCCATCCGATTTCCTGCAAGCAGCTTCAAACACATGCGGACACGCACGCTCTTCGCATTAACGCCCCAAGACAGGGGCCACAGCCAAACTCAAGGCCCCTATTGAGCCGAGAAAGGGTGGTTCAATGACCCCAGTTAGGACAAACCTCCAATCCAACCTATCTCCACCACATCAGTTTCGCACGCCATTAGTATCCATTAGTAAAAGTCCTCCTGGCCTACTAACCATACTGCCAGGTCTAACAGAATTTGGGACAACAATTCCTCATTCCTTCTACACTGACCCCTGATCTTCCCCAATCATCTCCATCTTAATCCCTTAAAGGCTGCTTTGACCTATCATTATCGGAACAACGGCCCGTCCTGAGCTCCAGTGCAGGGGATGTCCCACTTCTCCGGAGGGATCTGAGCTGGGACGACGTCACCGAGACCATCGTCACAAACGACCAATCCTGGGTGTTCCAAGTCTAAGTGGTTTGGATCGAACTCCTGGGCTTGCCCGGTTCTTACAACACAACTGTCACCGAGTCCATCTGAGTCACCTTTGCCTCCCATCTGGGCCTTGAGATTGTGCATCAAGGCATTGTAGTCAAAGCTTGACTTGTCGCCCTCTGCCGACCTTCAAAGGTTTTTCTCAACACACAGAGACCATCAAGGCGTGCGTGGAGTCGGAATCGGTCACGCCCGCTGAGCCACTTCTATGCAGCACACGTGGATTCCTTGCCTCTCCCGAAGCAATCCGAAACATCTTCCCGTGGTGTATGACTTCGACTCAATGGACACGCAATACCTGAGGTCCCTGACATAATCGCTTGCGGGGTGTTCTTTTCCACCTGAGCAATGACATCCAAATCTCCCTCAGCCTCAAAGGATCTGATCTCATTGTTAAGCCTCAAAGTCTTGTTGCCCATTGGCAAAGCCCGTCCCTCTCCAAAACAACAAACATATCCTATGGCAGGAGCTTCAAACAGCACATGATTTACCAGGTGCTGCGAGGTTCCGGTGACGCATCATTCCATGCAAAGCAACCTTCATTCCTTCCAACCATACGGCCTCGCCTTTGGCGCAAGGATCTCCAAACGGCTATGTCCTCAAGCATGACTCAAACGGTCGAGTCGAGCCCAAACAAATGAAATATTCTTGCTCACCAACAAATACATTCATCACAAAATCCTCACAAAAGGGAAACATCCATTGCACAGCTCCCTAGACGAAAACCAGGACACATATGCCGAACTGGCGGCACCTCTTCGGTTCGAACGCTCTTCACGCCGAGTCACGGTGGTTCAAGGCCTGAGTTCTTTGGTTTCGACAGCTGGATCTTTAGGATTAACAAATGACTGTTCGGACTGGAAAACTCCAACGAAGACATCCAGTGGCACAAGGCATCCCTTCTTCATCTTTTTCTCTTCCAAAAAGCGAGCTCCAAAGCGCCACGAACCGCCCAGCTATTCAGGTCCGAGACACACAAAAGTCCCCCAAGCGCTGAGCATTTGCCAGGTTCATCACCTTGGACCAAATGGGGTTCAGGTACTGATTGTGTTGTCAACATATTTTCTTTAAATATGTTTATCATGATCTGAAAGCAAACTCTTGGTTGTTCATGCTCATGAAAATTACAGCTGGGACTTGGCCGATTGGCATGCCTACCACTAACATGGATTTTTGTTCAAAGGTACCGCTTTCTTGGGCATGTTTCTACAATTTTCCAATCGAAAAGAACAACACCAACATGCACATCACAGCAACTGACACTGAGTGTCCTCTTTTGGTGACCAGCTCTATAGGACTCCCCGCGAAAGGCTGCGGCCCAGGATTTGCTTCTCGGGCCTGGCTCCCAAGGACCAAAAGATGCCATGGGCATAGCGGTCATGGGATGTGATGGGTCCATGAGATGTTCTTTCCATGACGTCACCATACGCCCATACGTCGATGGCCTCCTCCCACCTAGAAGCGATGGCCTCCCACCTAATTGCGATGGCCTCCAACCGAAGAGCGATGGCCTCCACCCCGCTAGCGACTTCATGAGATTTTGTTGGTCGGTCATGCATTTAAATGAGCCTCTTGGTATAGCCTGGTCTCCTTGTTCAAGGTCTCCTGGTGTGGGCCAATGCACAGACTTCATGCAGACTCAAACACCAGGTGTTGAGAAACCTCCGGAAGACTGAAGACAGATTCTGTCAAGCAAAGTTCCGCCACTTTGCCTTCGAGTTGTTCCCTTTCAAGACCTCCCGGAATCTTCTGGAATCCTTGGGACTCTATGCTACCGGACCTACCGCCGGAGCAGAGTCCAAAGACATCAATTTTCTCCTTCCAGATGCACTCTGCAGAGACCCTGTCAACGTAGTGAGGGATGCCTAAGTCAAGTCCGAGAAAGCACGTCCAAAGAATATGCAGTTGATATACTTCTTTCTCGTCCTTCAACTTAGGGAAGATGATCAAAAAGCACTTGAACCTAGGCATGCTGCAAATTCATGGACCATCACGAAATATCATGAATGCCCTTTGTTGCTAGCTTCTTGACTAGTAGTAATGCCCTTTGTTACTAGACATGCACAGCTTCGGCCTGGAAGCATCCCTCGCGTCGTGGAGGTCGGCTTCGATGGATCCATGCCGAGCACCTCGGACGCCTGAAAACTGGTCCCGTCAGCGAACGCTTCGGTTGGAACGGCGTGGCAAGGAGTATATAATATACCTGAGTCCATTCCCGAGCCAAAGCTGGTACAAATATGTACAAATACTATCAAATACTTGTACTACCAATAGCACTAATTAAGTGATTAAAATGTAGTGTCAGAAGCTTTAAGATTCAGTAAGTCGTAAATATGTAGTATAGTAGGAGCAAGGGGAGGAGTGGGAGTGGGAGTAGGAGCAGTAGCAGCTTTATGATCCTGCGACCAAGAGCTGGAACCCGCTCTTCAATCCTCCCGTGAACAGTCCCACTGGGGTGAACAGTCCCACCACTGGCACCTCTATGTCAAAGTATTGCCATCAGCATCTTGAGCCAAAAGGCCACTCGAATCGAACCTCTTCTATCTTCTCTACCTCCTACCTCTCTCATGAGGGTATACAGTATGACAAGAGATTCGAGAATGGATTGAGGTAGTAAGGATATATGGAGAAGATTCGAGTATGACGTAGTACTTGACATGGTCGGACTCGTCACGGATGGATGCGCGTGTGGTAGTATGACCCTCATATACCATGTCCAATAGATGAAGAGGAATTAACAGGAGTCAACTCTTGAGCTTTCCAGACTGGACATTGCCAGACTGGACGGGTCACACTGAGATAGAGATGCCCATTGCACTTGTTTGTGTGTTTTTCCAGTTGATCGAGCTACGAGCGACATAGCGCAACGTCGACATTGGACGAAAATAACGCGCCAAACACATTGGTCTGGCACAGGTTCTGCGAAGCTCTCTATGATTCTCTATCGGTGCACGTGACCGTGATCTGTGGTGCGGGTATATCAGCTTTCCTTCACCCCAAAACGGAACCGCTCGTCTGCAAAAGCTCTCGCTTCCGCGAAAAGGTGCTGCTGCTGATGCTGCCGCCACAGGGTATCCTGTGGCCCAAGAGGATGGGAAGAACATGAGAATAAGCTTTGGAATCTCGCCATTCTGTGCGTGACATTGTGTGACCACTATGCGTTGCTTGTGGTTTCTTACACCAGAGGTGAAATGAAGGTCTTGACATCTAATGGTGCCTTTTCTGCATTCAACACGAACACAACTTGTGACAAGTCGCAGCGCCGCCGAACGGCGCTGTCGTCGACGCTGTTCAAGCGCTCCAGGCGTCCTCTTCATTTGGAAATCCAAGGGCTTTGCATCGGTATCGAGGCCAGACTCCCCAGCCTTCGTTCAAATCAGGGAGTAAGTGCTCATTTTGGAGGCACATGGAGGCACATCTAAAAGCTCTTTAACATTCTTTAACACACTGCCTAGCGATGGCCTCTAACCTGCCCACACTATGAAGAACTATGATAACTATGAATGGACCCTGCGAGAAGTGGAGAAATGGAAAACAACTAGGAACAAGGACGCTACTAAGTAGGGGCTCCTGGCATCGCTACTAGGAGCAAAGAAGCTACTAGGGGCTCCTGGCCTTAGTTGCTAGGAACAAGAAGCTACTAGGAGCAAAATGGCAGGAGCCTGAGGAGGACTCGATTCTTTGGCTGTCTGAGCGGACCTCGATGAGCTCGCGCATCAGCCGGCCGGCCACGCCCGCATTCTTGAACTGATTTCCGCTGGTGCCAATGGCCATGTAGAAACCTCATGGAACAACTGGACACAAACCCACACCAATGTCATCCAATGTCCAATGTCGGCACAGCAGTCAAGATGAGTTCAAGTCATTGCCCCCATAGCACCTCTGTTTTGGAACATACCTTTTGCGCTAATTGAATCTGTGGAGTACTTTCCAATCCCATCCTCACCTGGCAAAGCTGACTTGTCGTAGATTGGCACCCAGTCCTTTGCGTCAGCACAGTGCTGAGTGAGACTGGCCAAGAGAAAGAGAGAGAGAGAGAGAGGGACTGATTACAAAGAAGTTATGTACGAGTACCTGATATAAATTGAGTATATAATTAAATGATTCAATTCAATTGCCCTTCATGAAACTGACCTGTTCCCACTTTGCCCGCCCCAGGGGTTCTTCTCCTCCGTGACATCGTAGCAAGCCGCACAGCCTTGAACGTTCCCTGCTTCGGGCAGCGGCAACGTAGGGATCCGCAAGGCCAATCGATAGACCTGTGATCTGCTAGGCCAAGCACCACAAGTGTGATCAAATGACCCATGAGTGCTGTGAATCAATCAGGCACACGTCTGTGCTGTCCCATGCTGTGTCTGCAAGGCACACGTTGGCTGTCATGTGGACTTCAATGTGAAACACTGCAAGGTGATTTTACCAAAAGCAAACAAGGCCCTTGTGGACCAACCTAGTGTTATCAGGAGGTCCCCTCCTTGTGAGCTTGTACTTCGGGGCAGATCTGATAAAAAGATATAAACAGCTACATTGGTCCAAGTCCAACATCGGTGAATCTCCTTGAAACCTGTCATTCAATCCCTCATGTTTCACGAACCTGATTGGTCCACTGATCTGTCAAGGATGCCAGCTCCCTGCCGGGATACACCGCCTGCCAGGTGCAAACGAAGGAGTCTGACCGAGCCCTGAAGGTAAACTGATAGGCTGATAGCTAACATGTTGCATGCGGCTGTGCACACACCCATTTACGCAAAAAACAATATCCTTCCGCTGTTGAATCATCCTGTTCATGTGTCGTCATAGAACATGAAATCCATGAAGCATCATGCTGAGAGTAATGCTGAGCAACCATGCTGCTTAGAATGATCCTGTAGAAGAAAGATCAAAGGAACCGCATGCACATAAGACGTGAGGCCTCTGGATCTGAGGGGTAGATGTGGAAGTTCTCGTCGCAGGAAGGTTCCACACTCCCCACCAAGATCTTGCCACCCACTTCGGGCCTGGGCGCCGATTTGGAACGACCGAACGACCAGGTCCTGCGGCCGACTGCGGCCGTTCAGCTCAGGGAACGGCCGAAAGTACACGCCAGCGTCCATGTCGGTACACACCAGCCCTTCGCCACCATCATCCCAAGAAACCTCCGGGGGAGAAGCGACATAGGCCACCTCCTCGCAGTCTGGGACGAATCGCTCTGGGAGAGGTGGAATGCTTCGTGAGCACAATATTTGTGACATCAATCCATCTATAATCCATTTGAATTCAGTGTTCTTCTCACCAAAAAGCATCGAATTCAATGGAACTCATCTCTGTTCAGCCGGACTGTCCGCCCATGTCCGCCCCGTCCTGGCGCATGGGTCGCGTAGAGATGGTCATGTCATGCTTCTCTCCCAGTGCCATGCCGGTGATCTGGGACGAGTGTGGCCCAGCCACGTTCACCACCACCGGAGCCTCGAGCTCCTCCGTCCCACAGCGGACACCTGGCCAGGACGGCCAGGTCGGTGAACATCAACACTTTTTTTGACCTTCTAGCTTCTTGTTACTACTAGTAAGGCACTTGTTACTAGTAGCGATGCACTTGTTCCTACTAGCTTCTTGTTCTAATCCACAAAAATGAGTGCTTTCAACCCACAACAAAAGCGACTGCACAGAAGTACAAGTCTAAGTCTTACCTTTGGAGACCTTCCCCAAAACATTGTCCTAGCTAGCTGCTTACAACTGCTTGCCATGAGATTTCGATCAGGTCTGTGGCCATGTCGACCTGCCACACGGCCGTTCCGCTGCAAGATCTCCGTGACGGTCTGCCCAAAGGAGAACTGCGCGTTTCCCGTGGCCTCTTGGGAGGCCGTGTTGCACCACAACCGGAAAGCGACAGGTCGCCCCTCAATACATGGCAAGAGAGGGGATCGAAACATGTTAAAGCAACATGTTAATATGTGGGGCAAGTTTACAACATGCTGCGAAGAATTCGATCCCAACAAATCCTGTCCTGGGTTAAACCTGCACTGCACGTGCATAGGCTTACATGTACAGTAGATGTGAAGAGATCTGCGGATGTCTTTAAACACAATTCTGATTCAGATCAATCTATAAAAACAACTCAGGCAAAACACGTGTGGCCTCAGCAGCAGCTTGCAGATTGCACGCTGCCAACATTGGATCGCTCACGTATCCTGCCCAGCTTGAATGAGGGGCATACTTGTGGATGGTCAGAACGCAACATCTGAGAAGATTCCTATCCTACTACATCATTATAACATCACGACCCTCACTTCGCTCCGGTCCTGTGGTGGGAAAATACACCCCGTCGCCGAGAGGAGCCCCGGTCGGTTCACCAAAGGACTCATCATCGATGCGCACCTGGCGTCAGCATGGGGCCCCAGGGCATTTGCACCATTCAAGAACTCACGAACATCTGAGGAAATCATCTAAGATCCTCGGAGCAACCCTTCACTTCTTGCAAAATCAAAGTTCTGACATGCTCTGAATCAGAATCTCCAATTTCCAAGACCCCTTCGTGACTTTCCACCATGGCCTGCGGACCATAGCGCTGCATGTCGAATGCCAAGCGCTGTTGTATCTCTTCACTGGACCAGTGTTCGAAGGGCAAACCCACCGCCTCATGGCTGGCGACCTCAGAGTGTCCCACCGCTCAAAAGAGCCACGTCCTGGAGATATTGGAACTGAAAGGACCGCACTACTTTGTGTTGTCCATGATCCTAAGGGCACTATAACAAAAAGTATCCCCTTCCAATTGTTGTGAAAGCAGCTCCATCGATTTGGGGATAGTCATCCCAAACCTAGAGCTGCTGACCTTTGACCATCCCTTGCACAAGTACCACCTCAAAACTTTTGTGGTGGATGTGGGACGACTGTGCACACGACTTGTATGTATGAACCAATTTAAACCATGGATTTTTGATACCTGCCTTTGACCTGCCTTATAACATCTTGTAACCTACTATACCTCATGCAAATCGATGCATTTGGAGCTTTGTCCCTTTCGCCCAGCCACCACCCGCTCCAAAAAGAGCTGGCTCTGCGGAGACCGAAGCACCAAGGCGCCACAGCGCCGCAGCCGCGCCAGGCCTCCGGGTGGGTCCTGGCGAAAAGCAAAGACGTTCCCATCTGAGTGGGATGGAAAAATGATGAAAGTGTGAGAATGATATCATGAAAGCGTGGCATCAAACATATCAAGCCCAACAAACCTGAAGATAGAATATATGGCACCATTTTTGTTGCGCTAGAACTTTGCTCTTCTCTGCTTGGCAGAGATTTTGAGCAAGACCGGGGCACAGGATGCACCTTTGTGCCTCTTGGATTAATGTGCAACTCTGTCCCGAGATGCTCTCGCTTGTGCTCTCTGACAGGAAATTCTCGAGAAGTCTCGGCTTCGCTACTTGAAGTGAATCTCACCTAACATTTGATTTTTTTAAAAACACTTCCACAATCTCGATTCCGATTTCTGTGCTCAATACTTCGATATTTCAAGTGCTGTCGCTGTCTGTAGGTCCATCTCATTCCTTGGAATCGGAAACAAGACCTCGTGTCTATGTAACTCGAGTGGTGCAGGCTTGACTGTCAATCTGCTTCGATCCAGATTTCTTCGCTGAACTGCCCCAGCCATGCTTGGGAGGCATCTATGGCATCCCTGCAGCGGTGCATGGCATCATCACATGCCTCGGAAACGGTGGAAGGAACGAATCGTAAGTCGATGAGCCAAGAACTAAATCCATGAAAGCCATGAACTTCTGTTCGAATCCTTAACCCAAATCCAGGAATCAACATAGCTATCATCAAGGTCAAGATACATATCTTCGCAGGATGCATAGAAGTTGCCCTCTCTCTCCGACGTAACCAACCACTTTGCAGGTGCCGTGTGTCAGCTTCTCCCGATCCTGGAATTGTACGACTATGGCGCGGAACATATTCCTGGCAATTGTTTTATCATGAGAGGTTCTTACGTCTCGAACGCGCTTACCCTTGAATGCAATGAGCATGCAGTTTGACCGGTAGATGTCAGCAACTATATATGTACACCCCCTGCACGCGGTCTGGTGAACTGACCAAGGTCTAGTCCTGGCTTTGGACCCTGTATAGAAATTGCCTTTTGAACATCACCAGCAGCTGAAAGTGCTTAGCACTTCTGAATCGCTCAAGCAAGCCCACCCATAATTGTAGCAATTTAACATTTACAATCATTTACAGCCTGCATTTGCAGAGTATCCATACCGCCAATGTGGTACCATTCCCAGCGTCTCCTCAATGGCCCTGGCTCCCTGTGCCGCCGCCTCAGCCACCCGCTGGGCCACATGCTTCGAGCTCATGTCGGCCAGCAGCAGCAGTGGTGGTTGAGGCGTCTTCCTGGGACCAACACCAGCAGATCATGTCACCCTACAAGTGGCCAGCGACAACACCAAGGTTCACTGTATGCTCTTCAGAATGCTAAGAGTAGTTGACAACGAAATGAGGCGGGCAGGCTGATACTCAAAAGCAGTGCACTCCAGGACCTCCAACAAATGCTTCTCATCTTGCTGAATATACGGGAGCCTTTGTTTCACGTGAAGGTCCTATGTCTGGTTGATGCTCCAGCTCTGACAATAAAGAATTATTATCATGAATTAACAAAATGGCAGGGAAAACAGGACCAGTCAGATGTTCCCTGTGTTCTCTTTCCACCTTAATTTTGGCAAAGCGTCTCCAATGCTGCGAGCAGGCTTTCCTCCTCAAACTGGCTCAAACGAAAAGGATCACACAGGAACAACTGATCAGCTGATGCAAGGCAAACTAACTTAAGACTTAAGACCATTCCTTTCAAACACCGTTTGGTCTTGCCATGTCTCCAAAACCCTGTGGCTCATGCACTCCTCAAATGGCTGTTCATCATTGTTCATCCGTGCTTTTGACCGCCTTACTTCTGTTTTCCTTCGCGTTCGGTCTCCGAGCAACGGCGCTGGGCCGTCTCCGGGCTCCTCGGGATCGGAGCCATCCACGCCTGCGAGGTCGCAGAGGCAGCTGGACCTGACGCAGTCGAAGCAGAGGCATGACATCCGGAGTCCCGTTGAACGCTATCAATTCGTGCGTTCAAAAGGTCTTTGGACATCAAAGACAACAAATTCTGGGATGGTTGTCCTTCAACAGAATCTGTGGAGCAAGCCACGTGGTGAATCTTTCGAGCCCAAAGTCTCAGCCTTGCATAAACTGTATGAAGCCACAAGCCCTTATTTGACAAGGTTGCACGGCCCATCAGCCCCCTTAAACTACCATTCTTGCTGACTTCGTAGTCTTGTCTCACGAAAGCCCTTCTGGTCGTGCCATGAACATCGGCCTATTTGCACCTCTTTGCCTGAGGGCCCAGCAACGGGTTTACCAAAGAGCGTAATTACATGTAATTACTGAAATGCTATCTGCATCTATCTCCCAATGATGCCCGACCATGATGGACCCCTGTCGGCCGTCTCTTCAGCAAGTCTTAGAGGGTCTAGAGACTGCAAACACTCAAGCAAGATTTCCTGTGACCTAAGTGCTAAAACTGAACAAATATATAAATATATGGTTAAGAGGGTGAGTCTTGACAATCTTGACCCTGGCCTTAATTTCTCTACTTGCAAGTAGTAAATAGAAAGGATTGGGACATCTTGGGACCCACTTGATGACACGAATACCCCTTAACCGCCACGGGGCCTCACAAAAAATCGGCTGTTGCCTCTTCCGGGTCGGTCCGAGTGGCAAGCAACCCTTGGCCCACTTGGCTTCCGAAGCCACCCGGCCACCACGCTCGGGAGCCGTCAGCAGACGGAGCACGGCCCAAGAGCCTGGGCGCCGCAAAGAGCGGACCGACGGAGCCGGCGAGGCAGGGGACGACTTTGACAGATTCGTGGTCAAATGGCTTCTTGGCCAAACAACTTTTTGTGGAATTCCTGTTCATGATAGCCAAACAACAAGTCACCAAAGAACCAACAAAATGTGGTGGCCGGTCCTCGTAACTCTTGGTGATGCAAGCAACAGATCGGGGCTGATCCCAACCATCTATGATTGCCAAAAAGAACATGTTGTCAATGTCGGGGTGGAGCAAACAAACAAGGACATTGAGTGACAGAGCCAAGTCGGAAAAAAGAAAAGGGCGTTCGAAGCGCCCAACGCACTCCACCGAATCTAAACCCTGTCGTTCGAGACTCCAAACATCCCCCAAATACTTGGCCAGCCAGTTCGCTTGGACTCGTTTTCCATGGCTTGCCGTTCAGGAGCAGCCGTATTCGTCTGTGGTTGTGTCAAAGCATATGGTCGATTGCAGAGTGTTGCCTGTAGTTTACATCGATTTGGGGGGTAACTGTTGGGGGTTCTAGTAGGTATCTTCACCCGACACGAGTGTCTCACTTGGCCAAATGCTGCAAAGCATCCCTCGGACTTGCCGTAGAGATGGAAGGGCGATGGAAAATTGCCTCGAGCGGTGTGGGAGGCACGCGTGAGGCTGAGGATTCATGGTCCATGAAGTGTTGTCAACATTCCGTCCGTTGAGTTTTGAGTCCAATCAGTTTACCTGTGCTCTTTCTTCAAGGTATATTCTGTTTGGATTGTCTGAAGAAGCTTCGGTACTATTTATTTTGTGAATAACATTGGGCAGCCATACAAATGCCAGCCAGCCAGCATACACTGAGCCAGCCATACACTGAGCTTCAGCTAACAAATGGACAGTCAGCCAGCTAGATTACCATCAGCGAGGTGCCGCTGGGTGACCACCAAAGCACGAAAGTCTTCCCCTGCAATGGCTAATTTCTCATCGTTTCTCCCATGGGACTCGGGTGGCACCGTGGCCGAGTGTCATAACAACGGTGGCCTCCAACCTAGTAGCGATGGCCTCCACCCCTATTTGCTCTTTGTATGCCAGGATGCGAGATTCCAAGAATGCTATGGCCGCCAAGGTGTCTGAAACTCGGCGATCAATGCCCTCCTCGCAGATTCCAAAGTGGATATGAAGTAAAAAGGAGACAGCAGCAGCCTGCGTATTTGTCGGTTCAACGTGGTTCCAAGTCATCATATAGCTTGCAGCATTCGATTGGACAGCCTTTTGGACGTACAGCGGCCAAGGACCATGTGGAACATGTATTTTAGAATCGATTCATGAGGTTACGCTCCTCAAGCAATCGTTCGCGTCGACCATCAAAGAAGGAGTCCAACAGCCTCGATGTCGGGTCGATGGTCTGGTTGATCCGCCGTCCAGAAACGACGACCCGATGCTTAGTTGCGTGGATGATCGTGGATGTTTGTTTAGGACTTTCCATGTTTGGGGCGTGCCCCAAAGCAAATGCAAAACTGCAAGTTGGGGTCCAAGATTGAATTCCAGACCGGACTGTGACTGGTTTGTCATGATTTGTCGTGGTCTGTCGGTGAGGGTTGCGAGGACCACTGGAAACTGTTCAATCAAAAGGGTCAACAAATGTCAACAGGATTTCAGGTGAAACTCAGGGACTGATCCGCTTTGAAGCTGTCTCTATTGATCGGGCTCAGTGATATACACGCACCTCACTATCTGGGTATATTTAACTTAAGGACCTGAACAGTTTTGGGAAAGTCTGTCTCTAGTGATGACGATGTTTCGCAGGCTCAATGCAGCTGGAGCACACCACAGAGAAGCCTTTTTCATGCAAAGATTGGGCAATCTCTGCTGCACCACCTGGAACCAGACCTGTCGGCAGGAAGAGCAACAAAAAAGAACCAAAGTCAACGGGATTCGACTGTCGGTTGCAATAATTGGATGACATGCGTTGTTTACACGTAAAACGGTTGCACACCCGTTGGGACACCAGTTACTAAGGACTGAAGAGGTGGAGTGTCTACTGAGGTGACCCCGAATCAGTCGCCCGCCCTACCCCTGCCTTCACTGCCGTTGTTTCCAAGCCAGTCATCTTCCATGCCATGCAGAATCAGCACCGTGCCAACATCTGCCTGTGGGAGGCATCCTTCAACCACCCCAATGACTGCATTCAAACACAATCAATTTAATCCAGCACATCTCCGAGCAAACCTTTACTTGGGGTGCCCTGTTGCTGGACTCACCTCATCCCTACCCTTCCCATCATGTCTGTTTGAAAAGGACAATTGGCATTGTTGGCCTCAATCTGGGGAGAACCATGACTTCTTGGGCAGTAACATGTTGCGCATCTGTTGAGACTTTAACAAATACCCCAAGAATCCCCAAGACCTTCTTGGAGTCCACTGTGTCTAATGGCACCTTTTCGTCCCTTCTTGTCTTGTCTAGGCCTTGGACGTCCAGGAAAAGAGCCGCACTGCACCCAGTGGCTGCGGCAATCGAAGGCCGTAACCTCAACAGGGTGTGTGGAAAAACATGGAAACACCACAAACATGGTGACGCGATAGGCCGAAGAACCAGCTAACCTGGAGGAGAAATTGGTCTTCCAACGTCAAAGTGATTCTTAGGTCCTACGATATCCTGGTACAAACGTAACCAGCGAGTACCCAATTGCATGGTCCTAGCCTCAACGAGCACAAATCTGGGGCAGTTGGATGTCAGCCAACAAGAATACAACAATCAACTTGCCTCTCCAATCCCTCCAAACACCTTTTCACCATTCTTCACCCGAGGGAGGATATCTGCTGTCCGGCCTAAGAACGGCTCCTCAGGAAGTGTGCCATGGCTCATGGCAGGTGGACTCTGGGCCGGTTCCAACAGATCCCTTGTTTAAGAAACATCGGTTTGTTGCAATGCACATGTTGGAAAAGAGCGGTATACGGTATGGGGGGCAATTAAGTCCATGTCGTCCTGGATGCCGAGCATGGGTTAAGCAAAAAGACAAAACTGTTGTGCCAAATCTGGCACAGGGTCTCTGCTGTTCCATGAGATCGGATTCTCTTCCGTTACGGGCACTCTGAAATCTATTCCTTTTGTTGCAAATGCAATGCCATACAAAGTGCAGGCAAGAGCCAAACATCGCAGAATAAAAACTAACCTTAGAGTCTGCGTAGTTGTCGTGTTTTGTAAAACTCGAAACATATGTGGTCCGATCCACGGTCCAACGGTCGGTTTGTTTCGAAAGTTGGTACAGTAAACAAACAAAGGCCACCAAAGGCCAACGATTATTCAGCAATTGGGACTTTACCCCGATCCGCATTGGCTGGGCTCAGCTCGTCCTTCAAGCCAATATGGTCCTCCCAGTTTTCGAAGTAGGTGTAGCCTTCCTCAGAAATTCATCACCCATCCATACCCGTCCAGCAGATTCCAACAGTGAAACGTGCGCTCGCAAGGATCTGTGCGAAGACTCCGAGGCCTCACAACTTGTGAACTGAGACTGACTGATTTTGTTCCTAGGCTGAGCTCCAATGATACACCTTTTTCTTTGCGCGTCAAGCTCTCTTGCAAGCAAATTACACACAGTGCAGTCATGGCGCTACTAGGCCATGAGTGCACGACGCACACGGACCTTCCAAAATCAAAATGAGGCCGTGTGCATGGAAGACGGTGACTCTTGTGGTCAAAGTTTCGCAGCCTTCTCATCTTTGCAATCTTGGTCACTTCATCCCAGTTAACTGCCAGTGAACCATGAAAAAAAGCTGCCTCCATTGCTTTTCTTCTTCTTCAAAGCCTGCTGGACTCTCTGATTGTGAGCGACTGTGGCAAGCAGATTGGTGGAAAACTCTGGGTCTTCGGCATCTTTCAGCAAGCGACCGTGTTCCTTCAACTTATGCAGCGCCGCGATTCGACTTTGCCATCCTGGCTGCTGGTTGTTCTTCTCGTTCTCAATCATTTGTTGCAAATACTCTCCACTAGGCATGGTGAAGGGTCTCATGGCAATTTCATTCAATCGCTCTCTGCACCGTTTCATCCTGAAAATCAACTCCACAAGAGCAAGTTGACTTTGATTCATGTCATTCTCCAGCCCCTTCATAATCTTCTCCTTGTCGAGTTTTCCCTGGTTTGCTGCATCGTACCTGTTCTTCAAGTCGTCAAGAGTCCTGACCTCCTCGACTTCATAGAATTCGTAGATGAATGGATGGTTTTGGTGTTGTGTCCAATGGCACTTTCTGGGACACAATTTGCACTGGCCGTTCTGGTCCATGACACAGCACCTGGCCTTGTCGTCGTCGTTGGCGAAAATGCAATTCTTGTGGCAAGTCGTCTGACACGTAGTACATGAGGTTGTGTTCATGCTGGTGGGATGCTTGCGGCACATTGGCACCTTCACCGTTACTTTGAAGTTTTCCGAGTTCTTCATTGTGGCATCATAGGTCGCAAATTGCTCTGCTTGTTCCACGAAAGAATTCACAATACCCAATGTGATTTTGACCTGGGGTCCCAAGCTTTCCAATGAAGCTTCGAGTTGTTCACGTTCGTCCATAACCTGTTTGCTCAAATGTAGACTCTTGGGTGACATGTGAGCCAAAGAATTAAAGAACTCTGACATGCTCTGTTGCCCCATGTCCCAAAACAGCTTGCTCACAGCATCAGTTGCCGGGCTGCTGGGGTCTACGAACAATGCAGAATTGTTGAACTTGAAGAACTCTTTCATTGGAATGTTGCCCGCTTTAACTGCTTCCAATGCTTGCGGTTTCTCACCATCAGCAAAGGTGAAGCAAAGCAGAATGTTCTCAGCGATGTCCTTCCCAAACAAGCCCAGGATCGCGTTCCACACATACTGCTGCGACTCGGTCAAGCGAGCCGCTGAAGCCGGGGCCACGAAGCAAACACCGGTGAGGATATCGACATGGTCGGACATGTCGTTGAAGAACTTCTTCATTTGATCTACAATCTTGTGATCAAAGTGCAGCCCCCTTGTATCACCAAAGCCAGGAGTGTCAACAATGGTCACCTTGCTTTGCACGGGGCTGCCTTTCACAGCTGGAATCTTGTAGGCTGTGATTGCATCGGTTTGGCTGGCAGCACCTCCTGTTTGCAAGCTCTGTTGGGTGACAGTTTGGAGCTCATCTACCACTTTGAAGCGAATGCCCTCTTCCCATTTGATGCCGAGAACGAAATTGAGCATCCCATCGATCTGCGTGCTTTTGCCCGCACCTGTCTGCCCAACCACCAGAACCACCATTTCCTTGGCGATATCCTCCTCAACATGTGCTCTGGGAATCTGCGCGTCCATCACGCGTAGCAAACAACGATGCTCCCGGGGCTCAATGCCCTCGCCGAAGGAGTACATGTAGTCTTTCACTTGCACCTCTTTGAAAGGGACATATGCCACTTGCAAACCCTCTCGCTGGTCCACACGAATGCAATCCATTCCCTTGAGTTCATTGAAGAGGTCTCCTCCGACCGAAGGTGCGGCCAACTTCCTGTGGCGTTCCTCCATCACAAGCTCTCCCAATTTCTTTCGGTCTTCTTTGGCAAAGTTGCAGTCCACAGCCACGTCCATGAGATCTACCGGCTCCATTGCCATCAGCATGCCGACTTGACCGTAGTTGTCATTCTCATGGTTGCACATGTCCGAGGCATACATTTCCAAATTCTTCTTTTTCAAGAAGTCCACGAGCTCCTCAGGAGGCTTGCAAGGCTCAAAGTCTGTGGAGGCCTCGCTGCTCTTGTCATGCATCGTGTCAAGCACGCGCAACAATTTCTCTTGTTCATCTTGTTGTTCGTCTTTTGACATGCCGTGTTCCACATCCTCATCTGGTTCAGAGAAGGAGCGTCGGGAAAAGGACCGCCGCGAGCAAGAGAGGAAAGAACGGGAGCGTCGGGAGCAGGAGAGACATTGTCTTTGAAGACATTTCATGATTCTTGAATGCTTTGCTTGACTCTTGAAACGGCTCAATGATCTGCCTGCAGTGCAGTCAACTGCTGATTCCAAGCATGTGCAAAACACAAGCTGGGTGTTACTCAAGTCAGCCGAGAGTCCCATGCAAACTTTACACTGTCCAGAAGGCTGTACCTGACAAAAAATGACAAAAGTAGGTGCAGGATGGTCACAGGACCGGACTGTGGTTCTGAGATTTGTGGAATTCAGCTCTCCTCTTCGCTATGAAAACAAATCGGTGGCACATCATCCTGCAGATTCCGGAAGAGTATCCTGGCCAAGAATGGTCGAACGACGTGGCTTTACACTCAGAATGTCCGAGCCTACGCATTTCATTCATGAATTGCCTTTGAAGGAGGAGTTTGACTTCATCCGCTTCAGAGACACTTTCATTCACTTTGTGATTCACATGGATTCATTTCTCCCTTCTATTTGAGCCGACCATGCCATGCATGCTCCTGTTGATCCTTGACCCGAGCCGCGGAGCTTGTCGATGTTCAACGTCCGCCTTGGAGCCGGACGTCAGGTGCTCAGAGGCGGTCAGATTCGAATGGGTCTGTCGTTGGAAATGGCTCTCACCCTGAAGGACGCAAGAAAAACTACAGTAACGCTAACGCCAACAAGGGAGAAATAGGCAGATAATATTTGGAGATATTCAGAGACATGTTTAGCTTGTCTTTATCAATTTGGACCAACATTAACATATAGATCAGTTTTAAAAGCACATGGGAGGTCTGGGGTGACATCTCATCGAATGTACTATCTCCATGCATGTGCAAGTGCTTCTTTTTGTTCCATGTAGGGAGGATGAACACTTGCTCCAGTATCTTTTGCCGCCAAAAGTGCCGCATTAGGTGTGGGTCTCATGTCAATCCATCCATGGCCATCTACCTTGGGCCTCTGCCAGCCATTTCGGGAAAGCTCCAGGGCAATGGAGTTGCCGATGACGCCTGCACCGATGATGATGGCATCCTTAGTGGGACATGTCTGGAGGATAACTTAGTCAGCTCTGGAAAGCAAATCCCATGTGAAGGGTTAGACCGTCTTCATACTCCTACTAAAATAGTCCAGTGAAACTGATTGACCCAAGGTCGTCATCAGGTCGTCATCACTGGTCACTTCATGCACTTTGATGATATCATCGCCTCTTGCGGGTGTTAATGTGGAAATATGTGGAAGATCTCAAAAGTTGAAGAATGTCACGACTGAGGCAGCAACATAGCTCCTGGCAATGAGCTTCGTGCGTGGAACATTAACCAAGCGCAGCAGAACACTGAGGCTTCAGGTGTTCCGAAGACCTCTCACGATCGGATCCTTTTTCACTTTCCCGGACCATGCGCTCGTTCGTACTTCGCCTGCTCGTTGCGGCAACGGCCACTGATCACGAGGCCGGCGGAGTTTCAACTCACATCCAAGACCACCTTGATCACGTCATCCTGATACCTCAATCCACGTGTGAAGCTGAAATGAAGAACGTGAAGCGCTGCTTCAACACTGGAAGTAACATTGCACAATATGACTTCCGAAGGGAAGGAGCCAGGACCTGTGCACACAGACCCTGCAGCAGTCGATAATTCCATTACAAAAGGAAGACGCTAAATATCCCTAAAATATCCTGACATATTCCAGCGAAGCCGCTCAGTGGCCAGGGTGAAGGCTTTCTGGATCTCCACCAGTGGAAACGTGTGCGTGATGATGCCTTCGGGGCAGTCGCAAGAAAACAACAGAAGCACACAAGTCTTTGAACATCTCCAACCCTCTGGGGTAATTCACAGAAAATCCAAATTAAACTCCTTGCATGCAGCAAGTCCTTGATTTGGCCCACAACATGCCATCGTGCATGGTAGGGTTTGCCTATTTGGGAATTGGATCACGTTTTATCACCCCGTCACCCCGTTGGGGGCATTGCTCTTCCCACAACAACAGGTTTACTGTCATGAGAAGCCTGCGATAGTTGCCAGCAACATCCATTAGATGGGCTTCTTGGTCCATCTATGTCAACGGTGTTGCGCAAATCAATTATATTGTTGCCTCCCCTCATCGTTCAGCTATGTCCACGTTACTTTGCTTCTTCCATGTTCTTCCCTCCATGTGCTTCGCCTGCGGTGCCGACTCCTCTCGACCCGACTCCTCTCGCTCAACCCTCGCCTTCGGTGTCAAAGCGCCCAGTCTCCAAAAGCTCGACAGCTGCGGGGAAGTCGACGCCTGGCGGAAGAAAAAACGACAAGGTCAGTGGACGCCGATGGCGAGGTCCGTCGACGCATCTCTCGGTTCCTGGTTCTTAGACATCAGCTGCCAGTGCACCCCCTTTCACAAGTCCAGCCTGGATCCGGGAAGACGGAGGCCATGAGTGTCACATTCTTCCGGAAGAACTTGCCATAGTGGAAGTTATAGACCTTGAAGAGTGCATCTCAAGAACAGGTCAAACAGCAGCTGTCGAAGGTCAAACAGTTAGACCTTCTCAAATGCATCTGGACCCTATTCATTGGGAGGGTGGACGTTGCTCATCACGGAAACTGCTCAAAGCAGAAAGTCAACGCGCACCAAAAACACTCCCTCAAGCATCCTTATCTTCTTGTGTATCCGGGTCATTATATATATCCCAAACGAGAACGCCGTGCTGGTCACGTCGGCCATGGATCCTGAGTTCCCTGACGGGATCATCTGGAACGCCAAAGGCCACGACCGTTCCACCACTTCGCACCAAGTCCAAGGCTTCATTGATGGTCTCCTGGATCCAACAGGTGAAATCGCTGTGGTATGAGCTCAAACAAACCCTCAAGCCGACTCAAGCCTTCATTGGTGTTTTAAATCAACAGGTCAAACTTAGTTGCATTCTATTGGCTGTCCAAACTCATCTGTTACCTGAGATTCTTGGAGCCAGCACCTTTCCTTTTGTGCAATGGCCACACTGAATCGTGAGTCATGACTCTGACACAAAATGGAATCCGAACACCCACCCTTTAGGCATACATTTTGTCCCCTCTCCAATCTCCTCAAATTCAATCCCTAAATTTGCTATCTCATAATGTTATCCATTTCATATATTTCATCTTCATCCCAACTTCCAAGCATTTCCATCCCCATCCAGGCCATCCCCCCTATCTCCTGGTTGTGTCCCACCATCTCCAGCACCAGATCTGCTCCCTTCGGCGCCACCGCCTTCACCGCCGTCAGCGCCTCTCCGGGCGCCACGGCCCGACCGGCGCCGAAGCGCCGGGCCTGGCGCCGGCGGAACTCCAGGGGCTCCACGGCGATGAGGTGCCTCGCCGAGCCACAACGAGGCACACCGCGAGGAAACGCTACGCTTCTGCCGCGGATTGTGTGTGAAAGTTCTACAGTATTAGGGGCACCATTTGATGTACCATGGAGCATGCTAGTTCTGCCCAACTCAAAACGTGTTCTTAGGTGCTCATGTGATTTCGTAGCAGTCGTAGTGTTCGCATTTTGACCAATTTAACAGGAAGCCGCTGCACGACAGCCCAAGCGAAGGAGCATGAACCTTTCAGTGAGCCACTTTGAAAATGCCAACCACCGCAGAAATCGGAAGCCCTGGCCTTAGGCACATCTGAGACAAGAGTCGCGTGGTCATCAACCCATTTTGCCCCTGCCTGAGATGCTCCGACCCCCAAAAAAGCATCTTGCAACGTGAGGTGAGGCGTTGTGAAGCTAATCAGCTGCGACGATTTCAAAAGGACAGGGATGGACTTGTTACTAATAGCGAGGCCCTCGTTGCTACTTGACTTTTCTGCGCAGGAACATTTGTGGGCTGGTGAGGTAACTGCAGCAAATGCTGCGGAACTTGTGTAAGCTACCCAACTGCTGGAATTTCTAGGAGTTAATGGACTGGCTATCCACCGACAATGTCATGTTGAGTACCGTGGCCTAACTTCTCCGGCAATGCAACAAATGGATCATATCCAGCTCATGGATGATGGTCGTAGTCTAATCAAGAAAACTCACTACCACAAAAACATGCAATGAAATCAGGACTGAAGGACCCTAGTATCACCACGGTCTGGCCAATGAGCGACCCAAGTCTCCTGGTTCAAGCAGCAAGTCTTGGTTTGACCGGCAACGAAACAGAAGAAGTATAGGTCGTTTGTGTTGCCCACCAGCATGCTTGCCTATTCATTTCTGTTCCTTCCAATCAGTACTCCGTACTCATAAGTCACCCGTCTTTTGATATGTGAACCGCCAAGAGAGCTGTCCTCAGCATGCAAAGCAAAGACCCCAAGGCTTGAGCAAGCAGCATTCGTGGCACACACTCCTGCCCAGTCTGCAGGTCATGTGTGGTGACCCATCACTTACGGGCGGGTCAAAAACAAGAAACAACAAGAAACAAACAAAACAAACCAGAAGTATCCCAAGATATCCCAAGCCATGGTAGGTGAAGATTCAATATCTACAAACTGCCATGATGTCTACCGAGTTGACAGGCAAAACTGGTCCGAGATCTTGTACGCGTAGAGCTCGTGGCTGGTGAAGATCTCCTGACATTTCAAGAAATGAAAGCCTACAACTAGTTTTGTGAACCCCCTAAGGAACGGCAGCTCTACATATAGGATTTGGGACCTGCTGCCAAAACTGGTGCAGTGAAGTGGCTGCGAAGCCACCTCGCACGGGCATGTTCTCCAAAAGCACCTGGGTAAATCGCTGTGAGCTAGTGCAAGTAATGCAAGTGTCGTCAGCAATCAAAAGGCAGCGAAGAAAACGTGAAGAGATGTGAACAAGTATACAAAGGATGCTACTAAGGGGTACTAAGGGGCTCCTGGCATCGCTACTAGGAGCAAAGGACGCTACTAGGAGCTTTTGTGCCAAGCAGTTGTGTCATGTTTTGTCTGTCTTTCCAAAGTGAGTGGATCCGCTGAGAGTGGATCATTGTGCACATTCTCATCAAACCATTCCGCTCTGCTGGAAGCATGGGCCTTTCCACCAAAACCAGGAGGATGGTAGTCATGGTCGTCCCAGTCCCGATGCCATAGCAAAGCACCACACACACAAGTGATCGTCCAAACGGTCCAAACGCTCCAGTTACGCCAGCATCTGCCAAGAACTTGCGTCCGCACAGCTCAGTCCAACCGGGAGGGACACAGCCGACAGCCTGCTCCCGCCTTAAAATAGGAGGAGGGTAGCGCCAGCACAGCGTCTCCAATGGCGAAGCGATCTGAACGCGAGTCCAGCACAACACCGATGGCCTAGGGCGGACCGGGTCAAAGCACGGCCAGGACGTTGAGAAGTAGGTTTGCAGATGGTCTCAGTTCCCTACATGTTAGTTGCGGGTGGACCTATTTATGGTTCTAGGCCTGCATGAAATGGTTGATGTTTGAAGACCTATCTTGTGAAAATCAGTTTTTCCAGCCGAGAACGGCCACCTTTCCAAGCTCAACATGGTGTCATCTTCCGAGAATCCCTCCTCCCAAACCAAGGGCAGCGGCAGCCGGCTGTGGGTTTCACCACCAAACGACCGTGTCGCCGCCGACCGTGTCGCCTCGTGCCCACAGAATCCATCGCGATCCCAGTAGAGGGAGCCCAAAGAACTGCTGGGCCTCCGTCCTTGGCGGCCGAAATGGGAAGTTCCAACAGGTCAGACCGTCTCGGATCATGCTCGCACCGGATTCATCAACCTTCCCCCGGGTTCCCTTCAAAGGTGAACAAGGTCAACAAGAGGTCAACAAGGTTTGAGATTGGAGGTACTAGAGAACAGTCCAACTGGTTTTAAGCCTCTTTTAACTCTGTTAACAACAAAGTTGGAGACACTTCAACAGGAGACACTCCCAACATTCTCTGATGTGTCTGTTGGCCCAAAGGCATTGCCACGCTCGCCAGCCGTCATCGTTCGTCAAAGTCTCGGAAGAACGGGAAGTCCGAGCCGCACAGAGAGGCATACTTCACCCGAATCAACAACGAACCTTCGCCGTTTCAACAACAGGCTACCAAATGAAATTGTCTGGACTAAGTCCTGGAGCAACAAACTGAAAAAAAAACACAACATCATACTATCAAATGTTTATCATGCTTCTCCCAAATAAAGAGTTAAAACAGTTGACTGTTTGACCGTTTTCGCGTCAAGGCAGTTTCGTTGGGCAGTCGACAGTCACTGGCTTCAACGTACAGTCACTGCTAGCGCCTGGAGGACAGTCATCCAAGAGCAGCTTTGGTGAGCGCAGGACTCGAAGCACCTGTGGTCGTCGCCCGTTTGGCTTTTGTGGTCGACGTCAGTGGGATTCATTTGGACACCATCACGAAAACCAAGCCTCACAGGCGAAGGAACACACATTTCTCCCGATCTCGTGTTGCTTCGGCTGATTGCTAGCTGGAGCCACAAAACTAGTCGACTAATAGTGACTATTATAGGGTATTCCCACTCGTATGATCGAGTCAAATATCAAAGGTTGCAGACTGCAATCGACACTCGCAGGTAGCTTCCAGGAGTTTGCACCATGCCAGCTATTTCAAGATGCACACCATCATGCCGAATCCATGTCCCTTGAGTTGGGGGATGGGACATCCAAATTCAAAGACTTTGGTTTAACGTTGTTTAATTCACATATCATCAGGTTGATATTCTATGACTCTAGGTTATCAGCCGACTTGCTGAGGAACTGTCTCTTCAATACGCTGTAATGTATTGGTTGACCTTGTTGCAGCTGAACTGGATCCAACTCCCAAGCAAAAGGCATCAACAGAACTTCTCCTGGACCCAAACGCCTCAGACTTTGCCTTTGAGGCACATGCCTCATCACTGTTACACCATCTAAACACACACCAGAGCTCCTGCCCCGCAGACCTATCGCCGTGCAGATCCGGCACCTTGGAGCCTAGGAGGCGAGCTGCAGCAAAGCTCTCATCCTCGTGGCCTCCGTCATAGCCAGCGCATGCACAATAAAAGGGCTACCCCGGGCACAACAGCAGGAAGACTCTGAAGGTTCAAAAAGTGGTCTCTTCTTTGTGCAGTTTCCCAACATGTAGTGGTCAATGACCAAGAATCAGGTGAGCCTGACTTCAAGATCAGTTTCCCGAACATCTCGGGTCGGTGGAAGTTCACCACGGCATCATGTGGATCCACCCAGCTTGACCAAATCATCCTCACAGATTTTGAGTTCATGGTGCAGTTGGCTACAGGCTACACATGCCAACACTTACTCAACGAGGCTCATCTTCATCTTTACAGCCGATTCATCCAAAAATTGTTTCTATAAAGTCCCAGCAGCTCATTCAGCAAGGCATCCATTTCTTTTTTGTCCATATCTCTTGTTTTTAAATGTGCTGGATGTTGTGCACGATGAAGCCCAATACGGATCTCACTCGTGATATCCTCATGTGGCAAGTTTTTAGCTGACAAGGCAGCGTCAATTCCGTCTACCCAAGCAAGCATATGCCTTCGTATACACGACAAGGGAGGCGTTGCTGTATGAAAGACATGACAAATCCTGATTACCAACAATTCACAAATAAGTCCATGGTACGCATATATGTATTCGAACAGGCCAAATACCTTGTTGAAGCCCCCTTGAACCTTACAAATGAAAGCTGCTACGAACTTTGAGAAGCCAAGAGTAGCCTAGATCTGAAACATTCCAGCACCTAGCGGTGAGCATACGGTCCAAATTACATGTGTGATTGCTGAATCCTCACCGGAGTCTCCTTGAGACGAGAACCAAAGGTTTGCTGCACCCTTGGGTCGTTCCAAACTCGTCCAAGGGGCAAAGCCCAAAGCTTTCCATCTGAACTCAGCGATGACCTTTTTGCATTGATGGCCAGTGACAGGGAATGAAGCACACACGCTTCCTTTGCCTGAAAACACATTCATTTTCAAACAGGATGACTCATATATTCCATAGACGCTAGGCACAAAGAAGAGCTCTGTGCCGGCGAAATGTCTAGAATACTAATAGCGATGTTACGTTCGTAGCTTCTTGTTACTAAGCCGCCGGCCCTTGGGCGCGGCGTGTTTTAGGTGATTGGTTTGTATGCTATCCTAGTAGTAGTTTTGTTTTTAGTCTAATTGTACCCACGGCGATGGCCTCCACCTAATAGCCATGGCCTTCCCCGACCTGACATCGGATGTTCCAATTCTCCAAGTAGCCACACGAGAGGCAAAGCAGCTGGCCGAGCTGGGGTCGGCTTCTGTGGCCAAGGGGAGCTCATCAGTCCAGACCTTGCCGGGGTTTGGACGAGACCTTGAAGTGAAACTGGAAGAGGCGGTGTCAGATGGCGTAAGTCGCTTTTTGTTCCTAGTAGTAATGGTCTCCAACCTACAAGCGATGGCCTCCAATAAGGTGTGTAAGATGGTGTAGCTGTTTGTTCCTAGTAGTATCGCCAAGAGCTCCTAGTAGCTTCTTGTTTCTAATAGCGATGCCTAATAGCGTCCTGTACATTCCAACAAGAGGTGTAAGATGGTGTAAGAGATAGGTCTATCTGCTGTTTTTCCATGATTGTTCAACAGGATACATGTGACGTTTGGATGGCATGGAGAACTTTCCTGACAGTGCAAATAACCAACTGGTCCTCTTGGTACACGCTACTTAATAGTAAAGCTTTGACAGAGACACCTAAGCCTAAGACTGACTGTCAAAAGATGTGACATCAGAGTAAGCCTCGAACTGAGAAGGCATCCGAAGAATCCCAGTCAAAGCCAAAAATACCCCCAAACCGGGCTCGGTTGGTCAAAGCCTTGCAGCAGCTTCTGGCTCGAGGCTTGAATTAAGTGGAAAGCAGGAGAAGCAGTGACTCTCAACCCTTCATAGTTCTAAAAGGTCTCTACACCGGCACAAGTTCTTGAAGACACTCCTCCGCCATTTGCCCAATTCCTGCTTTCTGTGAGTTCGATGTGCTCAATGAGATTGTTCACTGAATTTGGCCATCCTGATCGGCAGCTGTTTTATAGTTACATCACAATGTTGCTTTGTCAGAAAGGGTACAAATTGTGGCCGGTCACCCAAACTGCTGAATTCAAGGCATTTCTCCAAGAAGAGTGAATTCGTGATCCGACCGTCAAGTAAAGTGCGGAAGGATCTCGGCCTTTCCGTCATGGTTGATCTCGAACGCGTAGTATGTGTCCGAAGGGTTGCCTAAAAAACAAGACAAAAAAAAACAACGCTAAAGAATCAAAAGTCAAGACGTCAAGGTTTGTGCACATCTTGTCAAATAGGCCTTGCAGGCTCCAGCACCTGCGGCTATGTCCTTTTGTGTCAGGTTTTCATATATAATAATCGTGCTCAATGTCAATCCTCACCCATGAGATCTTCATTTCTGGGAGCGTCCATGGACCGCATTGCCATGCATTACACTAGGCTGGACTTCGCCTCCTTCAGTGGGCTGCCACAGGAAGCATTCCACGCGCTCGTCGAAGAGCAAGCTGCACTGCTCTGCGGGCAAGCCCTTAAGAGGACCCTGGAGGAATATCAAAGTCGGCTTGAGATTGGCAAAAAGACAAACCACGAGACTGCGCAAGAAAAGAACGCAAGTGGAATATGGTGAAACTGTCCAGCTGTATATGTACCTGCAAGGTGGGATTCTCTTTCAGCTGCACTGGAGAGGCAACTTTGCCGTGAAGCTCCCAGCAAACGTAGAGGGCCTCATGCAAGCTCTGTGCAAGCATGAAGGTTGCGGTACTCTTGTCATATTGTTTACTATATATATATATAATTACCGTAATTACATATACACTGCATTTATTGTAATAGTAAGATTCTATTATCGTTATTATATATTCACAATACAACGGATGCATCTTGCATGGCTACAGTATCTCCCTGTATGGCATCTTGCTGATGGCCCAGGCATCTTCTTTCCGGGGCAACTCCTCCTAGCCTCTCGTGGGACTTGACTTCAAGTTCAGGTTGTAGGTCAGGGTCCAGCATCGTCCAGCCAGAGAAATAAAAAAATTGCTCAGGATGGTGACCTGTGTCTTTCAGCTTTTTTGATCAACAGCTGAAGCTGGGCTTCTGGCTTGCTCATCCCACAACAAGCGCACCGTGCTCGAACTGCTAGGTGCACCAGGCCATTGCTCAGGCTTCTTCAAGATATCTTAGCCAGGTGTCGGGCAACAACCGTGGTCTCAAGGGCTTTTCCCTGGTCACACATAGATAGTTCGAGTTCGACCTCTAGTTCGACAAATCCAACACAAGGACTGCAGCAGTGCATTGGGACATGGCGTAGCTGGCTGCAGCGCATTGTCCGTGCTTTGTTGTCCGTTGAAACAGTCTACTCGATATAACAATATATAACAATATAATCATGAAGGAGTTTGATCAATAACTCGCCTTTAGCTCTTCTCTCCGTTCACCCCCCTCCGCCGCTCCGAGCTCCGTCCAAAGGGCGCGGTGCCGCCGCCGCGAAGGCGTGATACGGCGACGCTGCCGCGTCCGGCCGGGCGCCCGGCCAGGCCACGGCCTGGCCCCCAGGGGTGACAAAGCTTGAAGGGGAAGTAAGCACCACACCAATTGTCAAGGGCCTTGGCATTTCCAACTTTGCTTGGGTTGAATTCGGAAACTGCAATACCCTCCCTCGTCAACATTAACTTTGTTTGAACTAACTAGTATATTATATATATATATGTGTGTTTATTCATTCAAACATATTCAAACCAATGTTGTGTCAATTCCATGACAATGGATCTTTTGAAACTGATGTGGATCTGTTGACGAACCCACCAGCGAAATGTCGTTGAGTCATCACCCCCCTCCCAACTGACTCACAACGGTCAAGAACAGAAACGGCCGACCGGTTGGTCTGCCTGAAGCATCGAAGCAGTACAATGGTCCCCGAATGTCCCATGAGTAGCTTGGATGAGACAGGACGGTGTGAAGTTCGATGCCGCAGGTTGGGTTGGCTCTGTCTGAGTTTAAAACTCATCCATCAGCGTTAGGAGGCAATCCTGATCACATTCAAGATTTGTGGTAGCAAGTGGGGAATGATTGTCAACTCCTGTTGTGCATGAGAGTTGCAATTTTGGAGGGAATCTTTGTCTGTATGGTCTGAGTCTGCACTGGCTGCATTGAACTTAGGTGAACGGCGGCTTGCGGCATTTGCGGCATGCTCGATGTCTGAACTCGACAACGGAGATTCTTGTTCGATTTCGGAAAGGAAACTCTTTCGACACAAAGCACTGAGGGATGATCTGTCACTATCATAATCTACCACACAATGAGGCCTAATGTCTTTTTCTACAAGAGACACATCACCAGCTCACGAAAAATCATTTCATCCTCCAGCCCTCCTCCCAGTGCTGAAGCTGCGGAAGGATCTCCGAAAAGCGGAGACCCTCTCCATGCGCCACATGGCAATTTAGCTGTAGGTGCAGGAAAGGACGTTGCTCACTTCCATGAGAAGTGTATGAGATCGGCTCAGTGTCATGCTGCTGGAAGTGCGTCCAAGCTGGAGCTAACTTGGCGAAGGTGAGTGAGGTGTAGCTGCGTCGCGGCTGCACTCTTCCCCTAAACCAGCGTCTCAACAGGCCTGAGAACGTCTCAACAAGCGTGAAACATCCAAACATGCTCCTTTTTTGATGCCTTTTGAGTCAATTGCTTTTGACTTTGCTCAGCTTGATCAGCTCAGCTCGCAGGTGTTGACTTCATGTTGCCAGAAGGAACCCTTCAAGACCAAAAACGCGCTGAGCGGTGCTCCCCTCAGATTTCCCCTCTGCTCTCTGGCTTCACAAGTGAAGAGTAGGAATTCGTGGTGAATTTCTGCTTGTGACCAATCGTAGTTTCAAACAGTTGCTGATCCACGCTACAGCGACTCGAACATGAGATGATGACGTAATGCAATGTGAAGGAGGGGAGGAGGATGCAAAGGATGGAAGGCATCGTCTTTTTTGCGCAATGTTGGAATTGGTTTGGGCAGCAAAGAACATCTGCCCGTTGAAACGTTCACCGGCCCCTTTGCTCAAGCTGCTGATCCGAAACATCATACACGTCTCAGCCCATTGAACTAAACCGACATCTAAAAACAATTGTGGGCAGCTCAAGGGTCAAGAAAATTGCGCTGTTCAATGGCCATGCGAAGGTCTGATTCAACAAAACATCTACTCGGGAGGCTTGAATTGCAACAAAGCAATGTCTAAGTGTGATATACATGTCGTGGGACCTTCGCATTGAATGGCATGAAGCCAGGAAACTATCCCAAAATTTCATAAACAATGAAAAAGAGTGCATGCCTGAATTTCATCAGAATTGCACCTCCACAAAATCTACCAGCTCAGAACTGCCCTCCTTCTCGCCTGACTACACTTGCCACTTGTCTCGTCATCCCATGGGTCCACTCATCAGTCCCATGTGCCGTTTGAGCAACTCGCAGCTACTCGTGGAATCCGCACTTAACCCCTCGCACCTCAGATTGCAGGCAGGCCATAACCTGCCAAGAGGTGTCACGTTGAACATGTTTGGACAATCAAAGGGTGTGAATATTTAGCACACTTTCTTACAGCCGCAGAAGGTGCGCCTCAAGACTTGATCTCTACAGCCTGCAGTCGTCTCTTAGCTTATAGAAAACATGTAAACCAGCTACTGTAAACAAGTATATAAAGATATATCCGCCGACCCCTTGCGACTGCAAGGGGAGCGCGTGAGAGAAGGTACGAGTGCTCATGGTGTGGAGGGTTCGAGCGCGGTCTTGCTTTGTGGGGGCGAAAATTGGATTAGATTAGATAGTGGAAAGGGAAGTAGGGCTTGATGGAGGCTGCATCACGACCTTTTTTGAGCGAT